CATCCATCCATCCATCCATCCATCCATCCATCCATCCATCCATCCATATCTATCTTTCTATCTATCTATCTATCTATCTATCTATCTATCTATCTATCTGCTATCCTATCTATCTATCATCTGTCATCTACCTATCTTCTATCATTATCTATTTGTCAATATCCCTCCCTCCCTCCCTCCCTCCCACCATCTATCCATAATCCATATATCAACCATTATCTGTCTGTCTGTCTGTCTGTCCCTCCCTCCCTCCCACCATCCACCTATCATTCATATATCAACCCTTGTCTGTCTGTCTGTCTGTCCATCCGTCCATCCTTCCGTCCATCCATCCATCCATCCATCCATCTATCCGTCCATCCATCCATCCATCCATCCATCCAATGATGTTTGTTAGGAAAAATTCAAGGGAAGGACTATTAGGAAAGCAATGTCAAGGTCCTTAGGACATGCAGGATGTAGATGGAAATCTTTCGGTTATTGTTTCTTCTTACCCCTTTTCCATTCGCTGCATATCCTCTTTGAATGGACCTCTCTGTTCTTTTGTGTCATTTTGTTCCTTTCTCCCCTGTCTGCCAGGCTGTTCTCCGACCCTTCCCATACTCCCCGGCAGGGAAGAAAGCTGGAGGGGGAGGCACCCTGCTTGGCAGGTTGCCAGGTTTCCTCTCCGATTTTTAGCCGTGGCTTCCCATGAAATTGTTTGGTCTCCATCTGGTTTTCTGTCTCAGTTTCATCCTTTTCTTTCATCAGGGATACCATATTCCCGTCTGCTTAGTACCATATTCCCCTTCTGCTTTGGGCACCGAGTGTGTGGTGTAGAAATATTGGTAATATACGGTAAAAATATTGGGCTAGCAGTGAGGGAACCTATGTTGTAATCCATCCTCAGTTTTGTTGGGATTGGTCACTCTCAAACTCAGCTCAGCTCATAGTATTGTTGTTGTTGTGTGGATACAATGGGAGGTGGGGATGTACAGATCTACTTTTGGGTATAAAACTAACAAACATGTTTGGGCCATCAGAATGAAGAAAAATAGCCTTTAGCAAGCACTGTACCTTACTATTTCAGATTTCTCCATTGCCCCTATCCAGAAAATTAAAAGAAAAAAAGCTCTTACATTGTTTATCCCAGCCTCAGCACCATTCTTATTCTTATAGTTGCATTACCCCTTATGTAAGGGGAAACTAAAGACTAAAAATATTTAAATAGAACATCTTCTGAATGTTCTTTCCCCTCCGATACATTTATGTGTATGGTTACTGATTTATTTCTTATATGCCGCCCACCTCACTACCCAATGCAATTCTCGACAGCTTACAATAGAATAAAAAATATGAGTATGAAAGCAATTTAAAATTGCAAGAATGAAATAGAAGGTGTAAACCAGGGGTCCAGCAGTGCTGAGGCAGGGTCTTCTCTGCCACAATCCACACCTTTTCTTGATGTATTGTTGAAATGTAGAAATATTTATTAGTGGAGTCTGAGGTTGACAGATAGATGACAAATGGATGATAGATGGATGGAGAGGGATGGAGATGGAGGGATGGATAGATGGATGGATAGATAGATGGATGCTGGATGATGGGAGGGAGGGCGGAAGGAAAGAGATAGAGATTGACAGACAATAGATGATAGATGGATGATAGATGGAGAGGGAGAGATAGATGATAGATAAATAGATAGAGATAGATAGATGAGAGATAGGTAGGTAGGTCGGTAGATAGATAGATAGATAGATAGATAGATAGATAGATAGATAGATGATAGATAGATAGATAGATAGATAGATAGATAGATAGATAGATAGATAGATA